ATCTTCAATATATCGACCCTTGCAGTGTACGACTTTGCATATGTAAGGAAGGTTTGGCAGCAACTTCACATTTGTTCTTAATGGTTCCTTCAATGAACTCCTTCAATTGATCGATTGTAATCATCCCTTCAGATGAGACAGGGATAGCCTTAGTGGATGCTGCTTGTCTTGGGGGAGAGTCACTCTCTAGAACTTTTGGGAGCTTGCCGGGCGCATGGGTGGATTCTTCTTCCATCAAGATTCCACCCTGTCTGTTAGCTTGTCAATTCTAGCCTCTTGATTTTGCATGTATTTGGTCAAGCCAACGATTGCTTCCGTCAAGTTTTTCATAACTCCTCCTCCATAGATGAAGTGTTTGTCACCATGGCTTGCATGATTGTCGTGGACGACAGAGAGTAGCATGGATTTTCACACAGATTGATCCTTGATTGGTTCATGCTATGTGGTGTAAGTGGGGAGGATCCATCACTTGAAGCATCATCATCTTCCTTCACGACAGAGTGCTTGGATCCGGAGAGGTCAAGTAGAGCAAGAGTTTTTTTGATCTTTTCAGCAACATCGTTTCCTCCTTGAGATGCGTTTGTGGAAGATCTTACTCCTTTTGAGGATGAAGATCCGAAAACAGGGGTTGATGCGGACGGCACTTGGGGTGCTTGTTGTCCTAAAGAGCTTGTTTGCTCCTCATAACTGGTCCGAAGCTTCCAAAGGTGACATCGAGGATGCTTTCCACATCAGCATAGAACCTTAAGATAGCAACCTTGGTGGAAGTTGAACCGGAGTTGATTTTCTTTGAATCCATTTCAATGTTCATGGACTTTGGTGATTGAAAAGTTTATATGAGAGGTAGAGATTGTCCCACTGGGCGTGCCCGAATTTGTAGGCAATAAATTGCATCAAGAAAATAAAATCAACACCGAATAAATATCGCAACAATCGTAGTATTTTATTTCGAATATTTGAGTGTTACAATCTCTATGAATCCTCTGATTCTTCTTTTTAATAGTAAATAAATTCAAGGGCCTTTGAGCTTGACCTTGATCATGTAGTTGTCGCCACGAACGATGATCTTGTTCTTGAGCTTTAGCTTGATTGCTTGAACTTGACCTTGATTCGTTCTTCGCTCTTGAGCTTGAACTTGATTTGTTCTTTGTTCTTGAGCTTGAAATTGATTGCTTGAAGATTGAAACTTGATTGCTTGAAGCTTGAAACTTGTGGAGGAATTTGCAGTGTTTGATCCACGATCTCTTTCCCGCTTCTTGTTATAACTTCTGGTCTTTTAGTTGTGGGCTCTTCATTCTTGCTTTTCATGCCATGAGCAACTTTTATCTCCTTCACAATGCGGTTCTTCAAGTAGAACTTTGCATCGGCGAAGTGTGACTCTGCCTCGGTGAATGGCTCATCATCAGCAACTATCTTCTTCTTGACTTCACCCTCGTAGTATTTGAAACATTGAGGGTAGGTAGATGGAACCACTTTGTTCTCATGTATCCAAGGCCTTCCAAGCAAGACATTGTATGAAGTTTTCGCGTTGATTACATGCAGCCATACACTTGATTGCATATCTTCAATGGTGACTTCTAGCCTGATCGCGCCTATGGCTCTTTGCCCCCCCCCCCCCCCCTCCCCCGGTTGAATCCTTGGATCATCACATGACTTTCTGAGAGTTCGTTCATGGGAATACCAAGTTCTTTCACAGTGCGAATTGGAAAAATGTTCACCGAGGATCCTCCATCAACCAAAATTCGATTTACCATTTCATCACGCATATAGCCAACCAGGTACAATGGGTGGTTATGATGGGTGTCACCTAGCAGAAGATCGTCATTTGTGAACGTGACTTTTTTCTCACAAGCATTAACTTCTTGAGGAGTGGACTCGATGAGCTTTTGCGCAGATGGTTCCAATGGTAGGTCATCACTCTTTTCCTCCCCTTTGTTATCATGGCAACAAGAGGCATCGATACCCTCATGGGAAATCTTCGTGCGGAACCAAGATGGCAAGAAATCCTCCAAGGTTATTGTATGTCGTGGCTTTTGAGGTGGTGCATCTCCACTTTTGCTTTCTTCAAATGCCTAACTGGATTCTTTTCCGTTGGTCTTTTTACCATCATCTTCCTTGTTGGTTGTTCTATTTATTCTTTTCTTGGGCTCATTTTGTGGCGCCTACGACGAGTCACCAACGTCCAACCTTCATCATCATCCGGTTGATCGTCTCCAACTTTGTTGTTCACCAGTAATTCTTCATTTTTGATTCCTTTTAAACTGCATAACTCATCTAGACTGAATGAGCCAAAGGTGATAGAGACTTGGTTTGCGCTTGCTTTCTCATCTTCAAGCACGATCTTCTTTTCACAGGCCAAGTCCATAACTTTTTCCTTGAAGACAAAGCACTTCTCCAGAGGGCGGCTTACAAGTCGGTGATATTTGCAGTAATTTGGGTCATTTGTTTTCCCAGCTTTATTTGGTCGCTTCATATCTGGAAGCTCAATGATATTTAACTCGAGGAGTTCTTCAAAAATGGCTGGCACATCAGAATCCAGGAATGGGTACTCTTTCTCCTGCATTTCTTTTAGAGTCAGCTTTCCACTTGGCTTATCTTGAAAAGAAGTGGATTTCATACTCTGCTTCTTGCTCACCTTCGTCGTGAACTTCATAGGTGATGTGTTGACATTTATAGCTTCTTTGTTTTCATATTTGGGTACAAACTTGCTCCATTTCCTGATTTCTTGCTTGTCATTCCCTATTTGAGGCTCATAGATAGGCAACCTTTCATTTCCAGTGAAGGCCATGTTCAACACCATGTCATGGGCACGAGTCGTAAGTTCTTCAAATGTGCAGGCTTGATACCTTACAAGATGTAGCGTAGTCCCCAATGCATGCCTTGGATGCACATCTCTATGCCCGAAGCTTCACTAAGCCTATCTTTGCAGTTGAGGCTTGCATTCCTCCAACGATTGATAAAGTCGATAACTGGTTCACCCTTTCGTTGATGAGTATTTGTAAAATCTATCATACTCATACGGGCCAGGAGTGTAGGAACATGCAGTTTAGGCCCATGCATCAAGGAGCGTCATGACTTGCAGTTTAGGCTCGTACGTCGAGGAGCGTCAAGACTTGCAGTTTAGGCTCGTACGTCGGGAGCGTCATAACTTCAAGGATAATAATTCTTCAAAAACATGCCATTCATAGGGCCGATTCTCATGCCATCTGCATCAACCAGCTTGTAAGCCCCACTTGAGTAAGCTTCTTGTACGACATATGGCCCATCCCATTTTGAAGTGAACTTCCCTACAGGTTTATGGAAAGTAATTATTGTCTACAGGTCAATAGACAATAAATGTGCGTCAAGAAATTAAAATCAAGACCGAAAAATATTGCAACAATCGTAGTATTTTATTTCGAATATTTGAGTGTTACAATCTCTATGATTCCTCTAATTCTACTTTTCTAATATAAATTCAAGGGCCTTTGAGCTTGATCTTGAATTTGAATTTGATTTATCCGTCGCGAACACTTTGATTGTTGCCACGCATTGTATCACGAACAAGTAGCCTTGATCTTGAATGCCTTGTATTCGATTTGACTTCGTTCTTGATCTTGAGTTTGATTGCTTGAACTTGAACTTGATTTGTTCTTCGTTCTTGAGTCTAAACTTGATTTGATCTTCGTTCTTGAGCTTGAACTTGATTGCTTGAACTTGAACCTGATTGCTTGAAGCTTGAAACTTGTGGAGGAATTTGCAGCGTTTGATCCACGAGCTCTTTCTTACTTCTTGTTATAGCTTCTTGTGTGACCCATTCTTCTTCTTCGTATTGCCAGAATTTGTAGACAATAAATTTGCATCGAGAAAATAAAATCAAGACCGAAAAATATTGCAACAATCGTAGTATTTTATTTCGAATATTTGAGTGTTACAATCTCTATGAATCATCTGATTCTTCTTTTCAATAGTAAATAAATTCAAGGGCCTTTGAGCTTAATCTTGAATATGTAGTTTTCGCCACGAACGATGATCTTGTTCTTGAGCTTTAGCTTGATTGCTTGAACTTGACCTTGATTCGTTCTTCGTTCTTGAGCTTGAACTTGATTTGTTCTTCGTTCTTGAAATTGAACTTGATTTGTTCTTCGTTCTAGAAATTGAACTTGATTTCTTGAACTTGAACTTGATTGCTTGAAGCTTGAAACTTTTAGAGAAATTTGCGACGTTTGATCCACGAGCTCTCTCTCTTTCTTCTTGTTATAACTTGTGGTGGTCTTTTCTGAGTTATGAAGACCCCTATTTATAGTTGTGGAAGGGATGAGTCATGATAAGAACAAACTCTTTCCGACCAATCAAATTGAAGTGTGACATGGTCGCATTTGATTGACCAGAACATGTCACTTGCACACGTGGCGCGATTTTATTGGCCTTTCAGTGTGACTGGGCATGCCTTGTCATTTTGACACTTGGCATGGTCCTATTGGCTCTTCCGCTTGACTTGGCGTGCCACGTCATTTGACACGTGTCACCAAACTGGGCCTCTAGGAAGATGACATCTTGGGCTTAATGAAGTGGGCTAATTACTTTAGCCCAATTGAATGGGCTAGCCCAATGGATTAAGACTTATTTATTTAATCCATATATATTGGACTTATATAATTAATTCAATTGTATTAGCCCGTAGTATTTATTTGGACTAATATATCTTGAATTTAAAATATAGTTCAAATTATTTAATAAATTTAATTTTAATAAAAATTATATGCCTACATATATATTTTTGGTGAAACTAAGAAAGAAGTATGATAATTTACGAAATTGAAATTATGACACTATAAATTTGGAAGAAATTTTAAGTTAAATTATTGACTAATGATTCAAGAACTTTTACTTTTATTTTGTAACTCAAGCATAATTTTTAACTAAATTTATACTCATCGAGACAATACGCACATCGCGCGTATCTTGAGACTAGTTAGAAAATAAGTAATAAGTACATATCAAGTTGTATTAACGTTGGATTAAAGTTCAAGAAAAGAAGCCGTACAGTAAATAAGAAGGTGGAAAAAGGAGAGAATAATACATAATCTTTTTCCAAAATTATTCTTCGATGTTTAATTTCTAAGACGTTAAATGGAGAAGAGAAGCATAAAAGAGTTGGTTCCAAGTATCAGGAACTCCAGAAAGGCAAAAATGTGTACAATCAACGCCTCCATAGCCATTATAATTGCCTGGATGTCCATCTTTTCTTAAATGGGTTAGTATTGTAATATCCAGTAGGAATATTGACTTTGACTTATTCTTCAATACTTCTTTCACTATTTTTGCAGGTAATGGCAAACCACCTGGGTAAATTGATCCAGCTACTGGTGTTGTTTGATTTAAGCAACCCTTCACTCCTGGCTCACCCCAATCTTCTCCGCTGAAAAAGAAACAGAGTGCAGAAATCCTTTAGAATCAAGGTAAGAAAGGGTCAAATTTGCTCCGTATTATTTGAAATTGCTCAATTCTGTGTCCCTTTTGCCTTGAACTCCTAACATCGTAAGGGTAATTTCATGCTCCCGTCCACTTTAATTGATTTTTTTTTTGACACTTACTAAGGAATTTGCCTTTTCTCATTAGTTACCAATAAAAATGATCATATTAACCTTAATTTGTTCATTAAAAATATGACAAATACTCCTAGCGTCTTTACTCCAAGGGCAACTTTGAAAAAAAAATTAATTTTTTTTATATTTAAAAAAATCAAATATTATAAACCACAAAGAAAAACCAATAAATCAATTAAAATGGACCATGAAAACTAATAAAAAATTGAAAGGTAAATAATTTGAACTTTTTTTCCTAAAAGAATTTGGACTCGTGGAGTCCACGTCCATTCATTTCATGATGGAGCTCCTTTATGACAATTAAGGCCAAATTTGAGATGATTTGCTAATGTAAAAAAAAAATAGAAAATTAATAAACCAAAAGTTTAATGGTAAGCAAAACGAGAGATATTTCGAATAATACATGAACATATTTGGATACTTTTCCTGGAATTAAAATCAACAATTATCTTACTAGTGATGAGAAGCGGCTTCCCCTTGGTAGAAAACTTTGGTTTTGGTTAGATCCACTTCTGTCTCAACCCATTTGACCCATGTGTTTAAACCTCTCCGAAATGCAACCATACGATTCATATCCTTCACTATCTTGCCACCATCCTTAATATAATCCCACCTATACATATTTACACCATTTAAAAAAAAAAAAAATCCTGGTTAACATGATAATATTCAACTGATAATCTCATAAAAATGATAAATTATCTGTTATCACAAGTTAAATTATATTGATAATGTGACAAATATTTGGACGTCCAGTGTGTATAACTTAATTCCTTAGAAAAAAAAAATTATACTTATAGAGAAAAAAAGTGAGTAGGTAATGTGAGTTCATACGGTTGTCTTGGCTTTCTTCTAGCCCACCAAAGCCAAGTATTGAAGATCAAAACATCAGCTTGCTTCCAAATCTCTCCATTTTTAATGGAATTGAGTTTTAACACTTTTCCAATATGTTCCTCTTCAACGTCTACTAGGTATAATGAGTTGAATAATGTGGCTGATACGTCGTAATCCTGCAAATGAAAGTCCAGAAAAATATTATATGATATGAAGATAAAAATGGTATTCACAATTCACATTATAATCTTTGTCAAAATGGTTTTGATTTTGTTAGTTTAGGAAATGAAATTAAATAGAGAGTCCAACAAAGGAAATGAAGAATATAATTACTTACCTCAAAAATTACAGTAACACTTTGGTTGGTTAACTTGGTCTTATAATTTATTCCAGGCACTGAAACATAGAGTAAGCATAAAAATGAGTCATAATTATTTAGACTTAGAGAATCTCCAATAAACATGATCTGCTTCCCCTTGTATCTCTTCAAAAAATCTCTACCATCAAACCTGCAAGAGAAACTTCACGTGAGATACATAAACTGAAAAATATTATTATTATTATTATAATTCTTTCAAACTATGAATTATACATTTTAATTAATTATTTATCATCTATTCTGATATATATTTATAGAAAACCAAACGTACTCCCAACAACAGGTCCAAAGTAGAGGTAAACGAAAACAAAATGTTTAACTAGGTAATATATGAGAGCAGGTCAAGGCTGACCGAGCTACTGCCAGTGCAGGGTGATCAATTGAACACCCTTTGACCGGAAAATTATACCGTATGTATAAATATTACTTAGTAGCTTATGCAGAATTCTTGGTAAGCGGTATCACATAACAAATTATTAGAAATAACATCATATTAAGAAAACACATTCGAATCATCGAAAACAATTTAAGTACATTAATTAATACTACAACTTTCTTCAACAAACTTTCCGTTCTTTTAGATAGATTCATAATATACTGGTAAATAGTAGTAGTAGTAGTAACGTTTAGGGAGACTCAATCTTGTGAGTCGATGACTGTAAAATGATTTATAGAACCAGTTGGATTGTGAGTCGCTGACTGCGAAGTAATGTCATTTTATTTTTTATAAACATGATATAGTTATATTTTTAATAACACTTTCCGGCGAAGCGGTGTCACAGTGATACCGCTTCGCTTAAGGTGCCTCCGCTTCTGATATTATTATATATACATAAATATTAGACATTAAACAACTTTAGCGAAATTTCTAGAAAAAAGAAAGGAAAGGAAGTGACGAAATACCTTGGTAAATGACAAGCAGTAGGTTGCCATCTATATTTAAGATATTGACGATCAGGGCGCTTGGTACAATCAAAGGTCTTTCGAATGAATGGACAAGTTGTCGTGTTATATAAAGGCACAAGATCATCATCCAACACCCAACTCCCTTCAAACAAGTCACAATTTCTAATATCTAATTGTTCATGTTTTGATATTCCTTTTGTATTTCTTTCAATTTGAACTAACTTCTTGGCAAATGCATCCGAATAAAACATTGAGAATACTGTCAACATGGCTTCGAAAACAAACACAAAACTCACCATAAACAAGGCACCAAGAATATACACTAAAGTACTATTCACACCTTTAGCCATCTTCTCTCTCTTTCTAAGCAAACCAATAAAATTGAACAAAAATAACAATTGGGATGAGATATTTTCAGGTTGATAAATAAAAGATATTGAGCTAGTATTTTAAGATTTCTTTGGCGTCATTAAAATCAGACAAGCAATGTAACACGTGCGTTGTTACGTTAGTACTACTAGTGATTAATTAAGGAATGATAGTAATTGTCATAATAGTGTCTTTATTACTACAGTCCTTTTTTGGTCGCTTATTGAAAAGTTTGTTTTTAAATTTGCAGAGGCTTAACTAAAGGGACAATGAATATATATACTGAGAAACATTTAACTTTTATGCTGGAAAAGTGAGATGAAACAATAATGTGGATAGAAATGGAAAAGGTGATTAAGTACATGCATGAGCCATTTTATCATGGTATTTTGATTATATTTACATAGCACATGCTGTAAAATAGTGAAGTTGTGGAAGTGTACATTAAAATCCAACACGAAAATACTTGAATATTAAGCATGATTACTCGATTAAATTTGACCACCCTATTTTCTACTTGAGATATGCAAGCTCTCTGATCAAATTGCATATAATCCTATAAAAGGAGCTTGTATACGGTCGAAGTCGAGCTCGACTATAACTTGGTAGATCTGGCTTAGAACGTGGCGACCACGCATTGGAGATTGACCTCGAGTCTCACCGAGCTAGAACCTGAGGTCGAAAGACCTGCCTTCGAGGAACGTTGAGTCCGGTATCGACCTTAGCCTCGAGCAAGCTCGGAAATAACAAACGGAAGACTGCAATATCCGCGACCGGATGGATATTACGGCAGGAATCTCGGCGCATGTCATCAAGGAATCGGCAATTAGAAAATCATGAGATTTTTACCTTTTATAGAAACTAGTTTCTGAACACATGCATTGCACGTGTATCCCAGGTCAAATAGTATAATTTTTTTAAATGACATTCAAATTATTAAAACATGTGTATGAAGTATATATCACACAAAATTTGAAGGAAAAAAAATGCAAATTGTAAATGATGAATGGTATTAGTTGAACTCAAAATGATTGGATAAAGTCTCACTTGCAAAGGTAAACAATTCTATTTAGCTGGGCAATGCTTTGTAATAACAATTGTCACACCTCCTTTTTTACACACCTACCCCGAAGGATAAATGTATAAGGGAGTTTTTCCATTTAAAGTGACATTATTCGAAATGGGATTATTTATTTATTTTTAGAGTCGCCACTGTCACACCACTTTTTGTACCCCCGAAAAGAATATGTGTATGGGTTAAAGAGTTTTTCCAATTAAAGTGACAAAACTTGAGTAGGGATTATTTTATTGTTCAGAGTCGCCACTTGGAATTGATTTTTCGGTGTTCCAAGTCACCATTTATTTGAATCCCTAGTCAAAGGAAGGTTTGACTCTATTTTTATCGGTCCGCGAAAACAAAGTTCGGATAAGGAATTCTGTTGACCGGGGAGAAGGTATAAGGCATTCCCCGAGTCCCGTGGTCTAGCACGGTCGCTTTATTGACTTAAACTTGGCTTGAATTAATTTTGGACAAACTGTGATTTATATGTATTTTCATGTTTTACCTATCCACTTTTAATTATTAAAGTTGTTAAAAAAAAGTATGATATAAATAGTATAAAATTGTCCTAACCGCGCTACGAAAGCGAATGTGCGACCAAAACGAATTTTATTAATTTTGTCGTAACAGCGCTACGCAAGCGAATCCGCAGTTATGACAAAAGGATTATTAGCACGCTATTATTTTCAGAAAAAATTACTGTATTTGTGCTTTTGAGAAAATTATTTATTAAAAGGTTACTATCGCTATTAAAAAGTTACTA